GACTTTCAACAAATCAGTAGTTACATGTAATGGCAGATGACCCTGTGGACCGTGACAAGGATGCTGTCAGTCTTTTCAGCTTGATGATCACTGCTATCTATTTGAGTGCACAGACAAGGAGCTAAATGAAAGAGAAGCTGGGACTCAGTGGGTGAAGGAAGAGAAAGAAAGACCATTTCTCAGGAAGCTGGAAGTGCTTCTGCATTCATTTCTCTGCTGCTCAGTGAGAAAGAAAATTCTCTCTGCAAAGAGTGGGACCTGTAGATACCAGGTATGAAAAATTTCCATGTGTCAACTGATGAGAGAAATCCCTGCTGTGCAACTCCAAGAATCTATGGCTTGAATAAAAATTGCCCCCCTGGAGATGGTGTTTCACCTGCACAAAATCAACCAGAAGAAAAGACCAAGACCGCCCAGACTGATGGCGTTGCTCTAAATATGGTAACGTTGCATGTTGTCATCTTATTTGTGCAGGGGGGAACTTGCAAACTCAAACTATTTCATCTGGTGTGCTGCTACGTCTCCAGTAAAAAGACAAGCTGAACAGAGGGCTACCAACGGTCAACAAAGCAAAATAAGCAAAAGAACATGTCAGCGATTGGGTCAGCCAGCAGGTATCCTTGAGATCTGTGCCAGGCAGCTACTTTACATTCAGTTATACAACAATCTACAGCTTCTCGGTAGAAATACACACAAAACACTTTTACTTTGACACATTCAATTGCCTAGCTGGATTACACTCGAGTTTTTTTGCAGCTGCCGGTAATAGTGTCCTCACACAGTACTGGACTGACAAAGCTTTCCTTCCCCGTTAATAATTTAGACCCCACAAGGTGGGGAAAACAACACCAAAGTTTCCTTTTAGTTTCCTCCCAGCTTTCTTAAGAGCTCAGGGAACAAATCTAATGATTTATGCCCATCTGGACGGGCGAATGTGTTGAATAAATGATAGAAATCAGTAACACACTCAGAACAGCTGGTTTTTGCAGAGACAAAACTATGATATCAGAAATAGATGAAGCAGCTAAACAGATAATGCACAGTGAAAGTAACACAACTGCTGCAGAAAAACCGAGGAGACCCAACTGAACCAAACTCTTTGTTTATTTCTCTTAAAAGTCCTGAAGATTTTACTGTTTTCCACTCAAAGCATTGTATTTCATCCTCGGATATTTCCCATTATTGTGGCTATTGCAGCTGTTTGGATTGCACAAGTGAGCATTTGCTGGAGAAAAAAGGATAATCTACGTGTAGCTTCAACATTTTTCTGGCTGAATGTGAACAGAAATGGGAGGCGAATGCTGATTTTTGCTGTCTGAAGTATGGATCTCTGTTGCAGTCACTTTAATTTCAATTTTATATACACAGCACCATATAACAAAAAAACAGTCTTCTTAAGCCACTTTATATTACAAAGTAAATACCCTACAGTTCTCACTGACCTAATCCCAGTGCGTTAGGTGACCCATCTGAGGTTGTGGATGTCTTTCTATTTAGCATGTGTTGTTGCTGCAGAGCTTATGATGAGACATCCATCACATAAATTGCTCTTACCAGAGACACAAGGAAGACATATGGCCCTCTGCTAACAGCAAAGGCAAAAGTAAAACTAAAAAGCTCATTAAAAACTTATTTTGAGGCAAAGTCAGCAAAACTCATATACTGTACATAAACGATGGCCATAGCCACAGGATATCAAACGTGTTTGGATTCTGATTCTGCCGGAGGTTTGTTCCTGTTTAAAGGAAGTTATCACTTTCTACTGTCATCGAGTGCTTTCTCGTAGGGGGTCATCTGATTGTTGTGGTTTTCCCTGTATTATTGTGCATGAAAGTGTTTACAGTTTACCTCTGACGATTAGTTCTCCAAAGTTGGACACGGCGGCACCTCTGGGGGACAGGGTGATGCAGCGGTAGAGGTCCTGCTCTCCACGCTGTGCCTCCACCTGGAAAGTCGCCATCAGCCGCTTGTGACTCAACCGAGTCAGCATGGACGTGTCCAGCAGCACGCCGTTTCTCCGCTGACAGCCAGAAAAGATCCACAGAGAGAGAGAGAGAGAGAGAGAGCATTGAGTGCACCAACCCAACCGTATGTGTTTACCTGCATCTGTCCAAGTCATTAAAAATAGGTGAGCATCTGAGAAGCAGACAGGAAGACAAAACAGGGCTGGAATTAACCTCATGGGAGGGCAGGTTAATAAATGTGATAAATGTCACTGGTCACAGTAGTTTGTTCCCTTTCAAGACCAGTAACACAGGCCTCCCGGGTTGCTGTTGTTTCCAGCACCAGGGCTCGAGCTGGCATCTCCTACCATGCTAATGTGTCAGCGCTCCAGGCACACTGGAAATTGGCTTAAGCGGTGGAACAGGAAATCAGAGGCCAGCACTCGGAATGAGCTGTTCCAGGTGCGAGATAGAATATATACAGCCTCTCGCACAGTATAAGTAGATTATTATGTAAGCTGTCGCCTGCTTACACTTTTCACCAGCAAGTGGGTTTGACATCCGCATGTTTGAATTGGTTTAGGAGGATGGGGGGGGAAATACACTGCTGTTAGAAAATATGAAATTAGATATATAGTGCCAGAGTACTGCCTACAGCTACAGATTATACTTCAATTTAACTTTAGCCTTGGTATCAATAAAATCTGCAATCTTCTTTTATGTAATCTCTGTTTAAATTTGTTTCCTACTTTTTTGGTTTAAAAAAAAAAAAAACAACACTTTTTTTCATCAGTTTAACATGACTTTTTAATGTAGAGCATACATACAGTTTATTTTGTTGTTGTTGTTTGTTTGTTTGCTTGCTTTTTATGTAAACTTTAAATCCCACCTGCAGGCTTTTAAAGCAAAAATGCTTCTGTTTGCCAAGTGTGCTGCCGTTCTTCCTGTCTGGCAGCAAGCCCTGCGTCATAATGCAATTAAGAGTTTGTATAATGAGTAACTCAGGTTTGGATTCGGCACATGTTGATATTAAATAAATAGCATCTGAGGGTGCCGTCTGCGATTTTTGGGCTCGTGGACAGCAGAGGAAATATGATGTAAATGGATTAAGAAACATTATGCTAACAATTTGTTTGGACTAGCTAAACAGAAGAAAGAGTGGAGGAGAGCAGCTCCAGATTGGTCCAGAGAGGACCTCTGCATTGGCAGGGAGATCAAAGAGAAAACAGCAATTAGCAGTCTCGGTGCTGACGATCAAACAGGCCCTGAACAACAAATGGAGGAACAGAAGGTGGTAATGGCTTATGATATGTCTCCGCTCTCTGTTGTTACCAGTTTTTGTTTTTTTCTACTAAATGAGAGGAGCAGGGAGGAGTGTAACATGTGCTGACATGGGCTGGAAGTTGCAGTCAAATTACAGAAGCCTTCTATTGTTTCTTTGCATTTCCACATGTGTGTATAGCTCAGTCAACAAATTTGCAAAGTCTGAAAGTGATTTTAAAAAAATGGCTCTTTCACACACCGATGATCTTCAAAGGCTTCGATACAGAGAAGAGAGGGTGGGGGGGTGAAATAAAATTGAGTGGAAACACAGGGGATGGATCACCAAGTATACAGAGATCTCATTTGCAAAGTGTCTTCTCCCTGCTGCTATCATTTCAAAAGCACTTAGATGTGCAGGCTTCAAGGCCAAAAGAAGGAGTGGAGGCATTCAAGGATGGATTTATGAAGACTAATATTAGCTCATATTCAAACTATGAAAACTATTTTCAGTTGCATGAGAGAAATGACTTTAGGGGCTTTTGTAAACTAAATGCCATCCCAATCAAAAAGCTGGAAAAGCAGAGGCACAAACTCTCAAACGGCTCTGCGCACAACACAACCATTAAAAGGCAAAAACTCTGAATCACAAACTTTCTGAATTATGTAAGAATGCTAAATCGCACTACTATTACTGACATAAAAGATAATGGCTCCCATTTTCTTTAACGACTACTGCACAGTTAATTACGAGGTCAGAAGAGCTGGCTTCATGTCTTTGCCACCAGGTAATTCTGCGATTGACTATTAAGAGACAACCGTATTGACCTTCCATGAAGTTAGAGGACTTGAAATTTTAAACCAAAAAATTTGCATTTGTTAGCATTTTTTTTTCTTCTTAGAGCTCCAAAGCAGGGATACTGCATAAGAGAACTTCAGACGCCAATGAGTTTTGGACACGGGAGGATTCTGGGTAAAAGCCTGACAGAGTTTGACGAGAGCCATATGCTTATGGCTAGACGCCTCGGTCGGCGCACGTCTGCTCCTGTAAGGTGCGTCCAGTCAGCAGTGACAAGTACATGCTGGCAGTGAAATGTGGACAAATCAAAAGCTAGCAACAGGGTGCTGGGCCGCTTGCTTCACAGTGGCTTCGCCATCTCTTATAAAATCTGCTGCTAACTTCTTGATGCCAGATACTAAGGGCACCTTCAGAAGTCCTGCGGAGTCCGTGCAACGCCAGGCCAGAGAAGTTTTGGTAGGATGCAAATGACTAACCACATATTTTGCAGGGGTACTTTTAACGTTGTGTCAGATCAAGTTTGAAAAATCTATTTAAAATTTTAAGCGGTTTTGGTTTGAAGTCTTCTGAAGTGATGAGCTGAATTCATATACTGAATATACTGTTGGGAGTTCAATAAACTTAATAATCAAGCCTCTGGAGGGTGATGATTTTAACAGGCTTCCAAGCATGTGGCGTTTGATGGTTAAGACTCTCGAGACCCTTCTGTAGTTTGAAGTAAACAGATATGATGAAGAAAACTGGCTGTGCGAACAGATGTGATATGGTTAAAAAGGAAATGAATAAATAAATAAATAAATACTGCATTTCTTTTCTGCAGTATCTTCAGAAAAGAAATACATATTTGTACTGTACCCTACAAAATACCCGATTCCAGTTTCATAACCACCCATCCATTACCATTGTTTCATATTAGACATTAAAATGGCTAAATAGACTGTGTTGACAGACTGCTGGTTCAGAACTATCTGTCCAAAATCTGCGATATAAGTAACATCTGCGGCTACAGTCATCAAATATTAATACAGATATCAATATCTTATATTTAAAAAAATGCTAAACTAATAGCATGTAAAGGGGCCAAAAGTCTATTATTTATTCATTATCAGTAAACATTCCAAATTTATTTTAAGCACCAATAAATAATTTGCAAACATGGGATTCAAATATTGCAGCACTAAGAGCAGTCTCCATGATGATCATCTCTCTGATCCACTTAGCAGTATTGAGCTGTATCAGTACTAAAACATAAGATTGTATATCTGTACTTTGGGGCTCAATGATAGTCAAAATGGT